GAATGTTTGATTTTTAATTATTGTTAGTCTGATAACCTTGCTAGGCTTTCATCATTCCAGTTAATCAGTTAATAGAATCCGTAATTGTTCTTGTCAATTGGTAATAAGTAAAAACTATCAGATTTGTTCCAATTTAGGATTTAACTCTGATATAAACTGAAATTTCATACCTTTACACTTCCGAGCCCGTGAGAAATATTTAGTATTGCTGGGAATTTTACATAGAACTTAATGCAACTTATTTGATCTTAATTAAGAGCTTATTTAATTAGACAGTAAAAAGTTAGGGTTAACTGAAGAGCATTTTTTGGTTAACTTAACTAGGTAAAAGAGATTATAATAGAGCTTGTTATTTTTCTTAGTACCAGCTTAGATACAACGCATTCTGGATAATCAGATCTGGGTTGATTACATGATTAGGAAAGTCGCAACAAAAACTGAAATCGTTTTTATTACTGAGTTTTATTTAGTTTATTTTCACTATAATCAGAACCCCTTTTTATATTTTTCTAGTTATTGACTAGATGTGCCCGATGCAAAAAGGTATTGTCGGTAGGTTGTGTCCCTGAGGATACAACCCTGATTCCCTGTGTTTTATTATTAATGCAACAAACGGTCAAATTTTATGTGTTTAATATGCTTGCGACAGCGTGTTAACAAGCATTACCGGCGACTTATTAGCTGCGGCTCAAGCTTGAGTCGCCGCTAAAGCTCCATGTCGTCGGTAATGACCTTATTTTTTGTAGTCTGTAGACTTTTACAATGGACGCAAATGCAATGGATTATAACAAAACTCACTTCCTTTTTTTTAGTTTACTTTTTTTGGGCCATGTTTTTTAGCGAAAAAAATCGAATATACCATTGTTCATAATTTTTCGTCATCTTTCCATAGAGATCCATATTGATATACAAAAAATGATTTTTTTTTTCAAAAAAAAACTCACTTCATTTTCTTTGTTGTTTGAAAAGTTAAGGTCTATTTTTTATCGAAAAAAATTAACAAATATATCAAAATTCATATTTTTTGGTACAATTTAAACATAGATTCATATTGATGTTAAAAGAAACGAAATTTCAGTTCAGATTCACAGTGTAAATAATAGTAAGTCAGATTCACATTGTGAATTCTGAAGATTATATTATATACAGTTCAGATTTACAATGTCAATAAATCTATTTGTTGATTTTATAAAACTAATCTATGAAAAATCAAAACATTAAAATATTATAAAAGTACATGGATCTGAACCGAGAAGTACGAAGTGAGAGCGAGAGGATGAAGACACTATGGAAATTTTTCGTAAGGTTGAGGTAAATCTTCCAATTTTAGATGTTATCAAACACATCCCTCGTTATGCCAAATTTTTAAAGGAATTATGTGTTTCAAAGAAAAGATTTAAAACTAACGAAACAATAAAAGCTGGTGGAAACATTTCAGCTATTTTGCAAAAGGGTTTACCTCTAAAGTGCAAGGATTCGGGAGTTTTCTCGATTCCTTGTAAATTGGGTGACCTTAATTTTCCAAAATCCATGCTTGACCTAAGAGCTTCAGTCAATGTCCTTCCATTTTCTATTTTTGAAAAATTAAAATTGAGAACTTTAAAAAAGACCAGGACTATTATCCAATTAGTTGACCACTCGACGGTACACCCAAAAGGTGTACTAAAGGATGTTCTTGTTCAAATGAATAATTTGATCGTTCCCACTGATTTTTATATTCTCGACATGGGTAATTTGGACATATTAGATATAAAATCTATTATTTTAGGTTGAGCATTCATGAAAACTGCAAAAACGAAAATAGATGTTTTAATGGCAAAATTTCAATGGAGGTTAACGGGGATGTAACGTCCCAAAAATACTGCCCAAAAATTTCATTTTTAAATTAATAAAACCAGTATCCTAAAAACATCATCATATAAATCTAGATAAAACAAATGTATCAATCAACATATCACATCAAAGTAAATCAAGAAAATGTTGAACGAGGTGGTGTGTGCTCTGCAATAATCTCGAGCTCTTCCCTTTGGAACTGGAAGTACCTGAAACATAAACTGAAAACCGTAAGCACAAAGCTTAGTGAGTCCCCAAAATACCACATTCCATACATATAAACACATTATGGGCCCCGCCTGTCATCTGTCCCTGCTCGACATCGGGCCCCGTTCGGTTAAGACACGTAGCAATGTCGAAGACAATGATCGAACGGAGGATGTGGTCCAACGAGAATCGAACATGTAGCAGCTAAAGAGAGGGACTTCATCATCAAGGCACAACATGCCCCCATATTTAGTTTATAAATAGTTGTTGAATTCTGCTTCATTTGCTCAAACCTTCACATACCTTTCACTCTAAGCTCTTTCCCTATTAAGTCCGGTTTTCCTAGTTTGTTGCAGTACTTTAGCGAGGTTTTAAGGTATCTAGGAGACCGACGAAAAATAGCTTTCGGGTTGAGATTCTGCCCGTGATTTTCCGGTGTTCGCTAGAAATTTATGTAAGTTAAGTTATATATACTACGCTTTTAAGTGTAACTAATATTTATATTCATAGTCATTATTATTAATGTATAAATACGATTTATCAATGATTCTAGTCATAATACTGGTTGATCTACTTACTAGAATGATACCTAGGTTAGATTTAGTGAGGTGTTTAAAGTGGGTTTTCCAAACAGTGTACTTTGTATACCAAACAGACCATACCTCTGATATGATCTTACTTGGTTGTTACCTATTTGATGGATCTCGATGTATTTATTGGGATTGTTGAGGAATCTAGGAAATAGTTTAAATACAAACCAATATTGATGCAAGGTAATATTTATACTTAGGTTGTTTAAAAGGGGTAAGCTGAAGCATTAGCCTAATAGCTAGCTTCCCGAGGATCTTCCACCTCAATCAGGTGAGTTATCTCATTATACTATATATTACAATAAATGTCCATGTATGATCACCCTTGTTCTTTTACTGGCTTTCAGTCAAGAAGGTAACTCCGTTGATGTGAAAGAGTCATTTTGTGTAATTATTTAGTTCACCCTTGGACCACTTAATCTTACATTGCTTTTTCTTGCATTTAACTGTCTAGAAAAGCAATGTTCTATTTAAATTAGGATTAAATGCCAAAAACATTGTATTGAAAGTAGGATGTTATATATCACAAATAAGTAGAAGTATATTACTATTTTATGCATTAAACCCTCTAAAAGAATTGTACTTCCATTTTAGTTCGAGTTAAGTTCCGAAAAGTAGATGTAATGAAAGTAGGGTGTTGTAACAAACAAAGAAGTTGAAGTACATTGTTATTTCCTTAACTATATAATTTATTGTTGTTTTAAAGAATAAAGGTTGTTGTTACTGTATTCTCTAAGCATCTCATGTTTTCATAAAGTTATTTGAATATGTTTTATTGCTGTTGGAAGTTGTGGTGGTGAATACTGAAAAGTTTAGGTTTTCATGGGGTCACTTGATGTATATTAACATATGGAAGTTCTGCCCCCTTCCCTATTGTACAGTGTTGTTTTTGGATTATCTTAGGGCTACGTTGTTGTTTTAGGGTTCACTTATTGCTAGAATTCATAACAAAGTACATTATCATCTAGTGTTTGCATTCATACTCCTAGTTTATTGCTATATTTTTGGATCATCTTGGTGCTTTGGTGTTTATCTTCGCCCTTCCTCATGCTACCTTCTTTATTAAATTTCTATTATAAATTATATGACAGGTAGTTGATCTCACCAACATGTCCTAAGACCTTGCATACCTGACAAGTGATGTCGACTATAGTTGTGGAAGGAATGAAGTCTTAGGAAATGAGCATTCCAAGTTTGTTATGGGAATTGATAATGATACGATGAAAAAGTTAATTTATTACATTTATTTAACATTGGAATGATTATTTGTATTTTACATATTATATTTTGTACAATGAATTATTTTTCTTGTGTATGGTATTTTATTTTGTATTATGAGACTTTAAATATGTTATCTAAATTGAAATTTAGTAAATCCATTAAAAATATATATTTTACAAAACTTAAAATTATGACACGCAAAAAAGTGTGTCGTCTTTCTTTATAACATGGGCTTTAATGACATGTGATACGTATTGTAAGCTTATGTCACGCAAATGCGTGTCGTCTTCTTTTATGTCAAGGGCTTTAATGACACACAATGTGTGTCATTGAAAGGCAGTTTTCTAGTAATGATATCGGGGTGTTGCCAATGTTGTTGCGTAAACATCATGGTTTCCCAACATGTTACTTGAGTTGTGTTGTCCCACTCCAGAAGTCACCATCGTTTACTGTGATAACGTAGTAATGTTTATATATAAAACAATCTGGTTCAGCATCAGAGATCCAAACACATCCAAATTGACATATATTTTGTTCGTGATAAAGCCGTTCTCGGACATATTTAGGCTCCCAACAAGTTTATTATTTGGTTTTAAATCCAGTTTGAACGTCTGTGATACACCTCCCGATAAAACTGGAGGTGGGGATGTTAGTGTATTTTTGTACTTAGCCCATTTTGTATAGACCATTTATAGCCTAGTGTAGCAAGCCAATCTCATTGTATCATGTATTTATATTGTGTTGTACATTGTATTCTATTCAAGCAATGATATTAGATAATAATAATCAGCTTAATTACGGTGGTCACTATATTATTTTCTTTTTAATTCTTCAAAATAGTCATTAATTGCTTACCTAAGTACTCTATGTGTATCAACCATAAAAGAAAAAAAAAGTATCCAGTTCAAGGACATGAGCAAAGACTATGACCACGTGTGTATTAACAACTACTTTTAGTTAGTATGATAAGAAAAAAGGTAAACAGACACTCCTCTTTACCCATGACCAGAAACATGTTATTAAAGCGAACAATAGCAATATTTAGGTGTGATCCCGATATTTTGCACCTTAACCACTAAATTCTAGAGACAACTAATAACAATGAATCGAGATGTTTTGTAATATCATTCAAATACATGTATTAGTTAACTTGATAATTATTGATCCAAAAATATATATGTTACATTGTACCTAAATACACATGAAAATATGAACACTAAAAATCATCCATGTAGGAGGTCCAAAACAGCATAATATGAAACCAGAACCGGTATGGATATAATTGTGCCAAAGATAACCCTGGAAAAAGAAAAAAATCAATAACCTTACTCAAAAGAAAAGAAAAGCATAATCCTCGAAGAAACACATTGAACCATTTGCATTTGAGATTATTGTACATTGTAGTCGTTTTTTAAAAACATAATACATTTGTAAAAATATAAACGTTATGGCACTCAAGTTGGCATGAAATAGCAAAAGAATAGTAAGTAAACAAACTTACGCGGTACTAAGCACATTTGCATGTAGTCCATATTCCTTTGCATATACAAAAGACGAAATGGCCTGTGGTAGAGCAGCCTATAAACCGATAGATACATACATGTATGTTAGTTTAGAGCAACTCGTTAAAAAATTATTAAGAAATATGCTTGCAAAATATATTTGTTGTTGTTCATCTTTCGTAGTTTTAAAGGCTATGTTTGGCGTACTAGTTGAAAAGTTAGTTGATAGCTGAAAACCTAGTTGATAAATAAAAAATTAGTTGATAGCTGAAAAGCTAGCTGATAAAAAATTATGTTTGGTAAACTAGTTAAAAAAAAGCTGAAAGATATAAAATGATATAAAAAGACATTTAAAAAAATGTGTTTTTATAATTAATTAATGGGTATATTTGAAATTTTTTAAAAAAGCTCGTAAAAAGTTAGTTCAAGTAGCTTTCTAAAAAGCTAGCTTATAAACTACTTTTTGTTTTGCTAAATATGATAACTCAAAAAAACTCGAAAAATAAACTAGCTTATTTAGGTGTGACGTGTCAAACACATCCAAAGTATACTTGAAATGTTTTTTTTAGCAGAGAGTGAGTGTGTTTTAGATCGGATTATACTTTTAAACCTTACTACGAATATAACATTTTGAAACTAATAGGAACCTCTATCATTTAGTTGTGAAAGTAGCGTGATTAACCCAATCATCAACCGTAAACTCGTTATTTCTTTTTATTATTTTCTTAGCATATGTGACTCTGTGTGTCGTTCTTAACCCTAACAAATTTGTCATTTCCTTTATGTAAATTTTTAATTTTAGTTTTGGGTTTAAACTAAGTGAAGATGGAAGCCTTTTGTGAATTTCTTGAAAGATTAAGATGACCAGTTTTGTAATATGAAGACAAACTGGTGTACTTACTTGAATGATTGCAACATGAAGTGCGTCCCCTCTTAAACCAACAGCAAGAGAACCAACAGCAAATGTTACTGGTGCAACCACAAACCTCATCACCATCCCAAACACAGTTAGCCTCACACCACAATCAATCACCTTCTCTTGCAATGCCATGAATAGTCCTGTATGCATGGAATTGAAGTTAGTACACATGGACCACTTTTAATTTTGTTTCAACGTGATGGAAGAAAAAGAATTCAGATTATTATAAACGTGAAACAAGTATAGTTACTACTTGAACTATAATCCATCTATGAAATAAGGAGATTCTTCTAACTTTAAGATCATAAAAGGAAAACAGACAAACAGTAGAGATTGAGCATGGGCCGGAGCGGGTTGAGAATGCAGCCACCCATTTTCACGGAATGGGGATAACGTGGTACGGGGTAACGCGGTACGGTAAGGGTACCTTTGGTTACCACTCTAAAGAGTCACGAATAAACAGTTTCAATAGCAAAAAAAAAAAAATAAATAAATAAATAAAAAAACTATACATAGACAACCATGTATATATTTTATCGATTTTTTGTTGATATTTCTATGATTTCTTTTATCTTCTTACACATCATAACCAACCTTTTACTTTCTTGTACGAGATTGCTAAACATTAATCTGCTATAGAAACACAAAAAAAACCTTTAAAACTCAAAAAAATAATTGACTAGCAATAAAGTTTATTAGAGAGATGAAAACTCAATAAATTATCTATTATACACCATTTGTACAATAAATGATACCTTTTATCAATGAATCTTGAGAAGTAATTCGCCGGTAACCCATAGCACAACATTCATTAAAACAATGGGTACGTGGGAGAATTGCTTTAGAAAAAGAAATTACTTGCTTTGGAGCAATACGTGATTTTTATATTTATTATCTTTTAGTGTTTGTTCATGATATCACCAAAAGTAACAAAAAATTAAGTATCTTGGAATATATCTTTTACTTCGACAAATGAGGGACAAAAATTCTCACCCATGCAAAACATGGCAACTCCAGAACCAGCTTTTGACATAATCTGTATCGATCCTTCTAAGATGTTCGGCATTTGAACGTTCCACCTGAATTGATATGTTTAAACAGAAGATGAGAACGAGTTCTATATGTTTTCTAATTGCTCAGAAATATAATAAATAAACGAACGTCAGAGTAAATCAGAGTAAACCGAAGGAAGAAGACCTAAATAATGGTAGTGCATATATTACTAACATATTTTTTTATAGTTGGTTAATTTGTAAATAATAGTTTTTGTCTTACATAACAGTTTATGATTTAAAAAGGTTATAGAATATGCAAAAATAAACAAATAAATAAATATTATTGTTGTGTATGACAAAAAATCTGTTGTGTATGAATCACCTTGTTTTTTTATAATTAATGATATAAGCAACTTTATAAAACTTGATTTATAAAACTTGATTGTACCACTCATAAATTGTACGTTTATCATCAATGATAGCATACCTATATGATACAAGTGCCCAAAAAAGTCCCAGAATACAAGCATAAGAGTTAGGGTTCTTAGAAAGCTTTAGCCCAACAGTCCTCATCAAAATCAACACAGAATTAGGTCTTCTACTTTTGTCCCCTTCACTTTCGTTCTCAAGGTCCATGGCTGATTTGTCCAGTGCAACTGCTAAATCCATCTGTTTTTTCGCAAGTTGGATCTCTAGCATGAACAACTGAAACATACTCCATATCATAGATTGCAAAATTGAAGACTGGATGACCATATTCTCTCCCAAGCTCCCATACATTGCTCGCATAAGTGGAACCCCTACAACAAGAGTATTATTCAAGCTAGATAAAGAGAAGCTTGTCACTGACCATTGATAACTTCCTTTACTACTACAATTAGCCCATAATGATATTGTTACAAGGATGATGGCTTTGGAGATAACATCAGCAGCTATGAAGAGATGATTGAATTGGTAGGGATTGATGCGAGTGGTGAACTCGAATGTGAAGAGTGGCATGATGAAGTAGCAATTAAGCCGATTTATTGTATCACAATCGCTGGGGTTGAACATGTTCCACCACTTCACCGAACCGTAGCCTAAAGTTAGTGCTACATAGAGAGGAAGCATAGCAGTTAGCACATTATAAATGTCTTCCCACCCTATCATTGTGGGTAGATATTTTATTTTCTGTTGATTAGAAACAAACTAATGGTATATTTTGTGGAGGTAAACAATGAGATGATTTCAGTATTTATATACGAAATGGAGTGTTCGAGCTATTCGTTTACAGACCACTTTAGTTAACAGAAGTTGAGATATCGTAATCTGTACTTTGTTAATGGGAACAGTGATGTGACGATTTTTACCTTAAAATTAGTGCACATCAACCTAAAATGCATGGGTAGACTTGTAATTGGGAACACTCCATATTACACTCAAAAAGGGTTTCTCAAAATCATGGCTTTTTGCAATCATAATTTATTCAAGTTCGTGATCGAATATAACATTTGATCGATCTCATCGTAAGTCTACAGGATGTTCAAAAAAAATTAATAATATATTTTTGAAAGTTACTTCTAATGATACAATGCAACTTTTATACATAATGATGTCTTTTTTAGCAGATTCACTCAAAATCAAAAATCTAAATCAAATTACAAAGTGGATCATACCGAGCTTTACAGTTTACACCGGCTATAGTCGTGAACCTGGCCCACAGCTCCTTCCATAATAACAATGACACGTGTTTAATGTTTGCCCATTTTCTACGTCACTATCACCATTTTACGGCTGTGCTAAAAAGTGTAATATTAGGTTGGGCTATATGAAAAAAGTACACGTTGTATGATGTTAAATATACATAATTGATGGGATAACCCTCATATAGGACAAAGGGTTAGATATTGACACTTCGTGGCTCCTACTCACTTTATAGCTCCCATTCTCTTCTCTACTTTATAACTCCTTCTTTACTTTATGTTTTCTGTTGCTGAAAATAAAAATATGGTTCCCATCGGAATCGCCACAACTCCGGGGATGGTAATACAATTTCTGTTTCTTGACTGTTCCCAGATTCTTAGGCGGCCGGAACTCGCTACACCATCGCCTACATCATGTACAGATCTTGTCATCTCGAGGGCAATAGTTCATAGTTATAGCATCAATATCAATAATAATTAATAAAGTGTTCCCAAGTATTATGTTGCTTTCCTTGGTCATTATCTGAAGTCCTTTACATCTGTCCGCATAAGTTGAATGCGTGTCTATTCACAGCCATGTAGACAACAACAAAAGTACTGTTCCTCATACTTTTTCGTTTTTAACGTGGAGCTTAGAAAAAGAGATATTCATTGACACACGATTGCATCTTATGCTCCTCACTTTATCCAGGTAGGGTTTCAACAAACTCTGCCTCTATCTATATCCAACGTTTTTCTATCCCAAGTGTATTGCACAACATAATTCATAAAGTTATGCATCGATTTATATCCACACACCTCAAGTAAATGGTCAAAATTGGATGGCTACAATTAAATGTTTCCGAAGACAATTGATAGGTATCTTTTCATCTGCAGTGCTGCATTTATTCTTGGCTAATTTTGTACGCATCCTTCTAATTGCTTGGTATGTCCTTGTGTGAGTGAGTGAGTGTGTACCTCATGATTTGATAATTTATGTGAATAAAGGGTTCATATAGTAGCACCCTTATTCTTTTGTATGTGTATGTTGATGTTTGTGTATGCATTAGATCCATAAAATAGAAAAATGGAAGCCTAATTTTGTGTAAAGCGGTATTCGTTGCAGCAGTATTGAATGTAGCCCATAGAAATAAAGTAGAATTATGTTTGGTAATTAATCGTAAGTCGTAACTAAGTCATTCTTATTCTTAGGTAGAACATAAACTTAGTAAGGATTGTTGAAATGGAGTTGGGGTCAACTCTCCAAGAGTTAGAGAATATGGCCGAGTCGATGTTTGTGAAGGTGGGTCTCTTCCCCTTAAATACCTTGGGATGTCGGTTGGGGGTTGAAAGTGTTGGGTTATGAGCATTCTAACACTCCTAAGTGTACATGCAACCATAAATACCTTGGATCTATGTTTTCTCTATTATACATATAATTATGAACATCCAAGGTATTATCCTAATCTA